TACCGATTCTGAAATGTGGAAAAAAAATCTTAATGAAATAAATAAAAATAAATCAAACAAAAGGAAAAGAGTGAGAGAGTATTTTGATGTTTGATGAACTGTAATGTTGGATTGGATATATGTTGATGTTTGATGACTTTGTAGTTTGTATTTGTAATTTGGATTGCCTTGCTTTTGATATTGAATTATTAATCTATTTTTTAGTGAACTTAAATTAGTATTTTTTATGGTAAACTATACTTAAAATATTAATTATCATTTTTTATTTAGAAAAATGTCATTATATGCTATTAAATTAATGATAAATATATATAGAATTATATATTATATATATAAAATAATTAAAAATTTATATATTAGTTAAACCGGTTCGACCACTGGTCTGACCAGTGAAACATTGAACCAGTAGCTTCACCGGTTGGATGACCGGCTGGTTTTCAGAACATTGCTTTATAATAAAAACTGTAGCACCTTATAAAACAACACGTTGCACTTTATATATACACTCCATATATTACGGAATATAAATATAAGAAACAAAGCTACATAATATATTAAAATTAGTTTTTATATATTTTGTTATCCATATATATTAAATAATAAATGAATCATTAAATAACAACTGTCGCACTACACAACAAAACGTTGCATTTTATAAAACGATACGTTGCACTTTATCAACACACTCGCAATTGATGCCCACAACTCCCGCCAAAAAAAATAAAAATAAAAATAAAAATAAAAATACGCAATATAAATCTAAAAAGGCGGATATACATACTTTAATATTCATCACATCATCTATATACCAAAAAAAATAATAATAATAAGCATCTGAACGTACTGAAAGTTCATTAGTGCACTTTATATAATAATACGTTGCACTTTATACTGAAATGTGTTGCACTTTATATAACGACAAATTACACATAATAAAACAACATGCCACACCCTCCAAAAATACGGTAATTATGCTAATTGATCGAATAATATTAGCTGAATAATGTCGAACTTAGACATTTTAAATAAATAAATTAACTGAACATGCCAAACTATATGAAAAATCTCATCTTTTTTTT